ATGGACTCTTAACCAATGGAATTTCGCGGAGGCGAAATCGAGCCAATCAGATGTTTTCTCATATGGGCTCTTAGCCAATGGGACTTTGCGAAGGCGAAATTGAACCAATCAGAAGTTTTCGCCATGGGCTCTTAGTCAATGGGATTCAGTGAAGTCGAAATCGAGCCAATCAGCGGTTTTGCGGTATGGGCGCTTAAGCAGGAGGATGTCACGCTGCGGAACTGCAGCAAATCAAGCATTTTGCGATATGGGCCTGTAGTCAATGGAATGTAGCGAAGCCGGGGGCCAGCGAATGAGCGGTTTTTCGATATAGGCGATTAGCCAATGAGATTTCGCGCAAGGAAAGCTAAGCCAATGAAATGCTAGTGGGTATAGCCCATCAGCGAATGAGATTTTGCACAACGAAAGCTCCGTCAATCAGAGGTTTTTTGATATGGGCCAACAATCAATGTGATTTTGCGGCGCCAAAATCGGTCGAATGCGAGAATTTCCGAGATGAGCTGTTAGCCAATGAGATTCTGCACAACCGAAATTGAGCCCATCAGGGCTTTCTAATATGGAGCATCGACGAAGTATATTGCGAGGCGACGAAATTGGCGGAATCTTGCATTTTCGGGAGCGGACGGTTGGCGAAGGAAACTTCGCGGAGTGGTACTCGAGTCAATTTGGTGTTTTGAAGCTATGGTGTGAGAAAATGAGATTTTGAGGACGTGGATGAACTTATCATGCATTTTTAGATTCCGACTTCTAGAAAACGAATTTTGAAGAGCAACTAGTCAAGATAGTGATGGGTTCTTCGATATTCAATGTTAGTGTAGGAATTTATGAGTGCGCACCATGGAGTGAACGTGTCAATTCGACCCGTAAGATGCTTGGTTGTGACTGTCGGAAGTTATTTATCGCGTAGAGTCCAGTCTATTGAACGTTGTTGATGTATGAAGCTGGGTGTATGCTATAAATGTGTGTTGTGATAGTGAATATGATATGGATGATTTTGAAAGTTAAGCACGATGGCAACATTTCATTTTCTTGTGTGTATATATGTCCCCAACAGTTGATAGAGGTATGGCATTATAACAAAAGACGGATAGTAGAATGTATTTCAAACTGAAAGTGTGGATTTGAATATGGTTGTAGTACTTATATTGGGCCGGGATGTATCTGTGTTTTCCTGCAAGTTTAATCATGTGTGAAGGCTAATGCTATTGTGCTACTTGTTTATGGAAGGTTGTTTTTTGAAATGAGGATCAATTTGTCGTCTTCAGTCGTCGATCTCCTTTGTGGGTTAGCTGTGAAGGGGTCAGTTGAAAGAACACTTCTCAGTGATAAGGTAGATATAGCAAAGAAAGTTGCCTTAATACTACTCGCGTTTTGTGAAAATCTTAGTGAATTTGTCAGATATCATGCGTGTCAGATTAGACTTGTATTTTAGTGTATAACTCTCATATGCTGCTGGATGTACTGATTGAATGCACAAACGATAATGACTTCGTATCAATAGAGTTCGTTAATATACTTTAAATTTTTCATTCTCTTTTTACTTTTATAGCTTTTATTTAAAATAGGAGTTCGTACAAGTTTTACAAATGATCTATGGACCAGAAGAGTGAATTAAACACATTTCGAGCATGCAAAATAGAGTTTTTGCTTTGAGTTAGGTGCTTTTTCTGAAGTCACAGCACCGTTGAAGTTTTATTTTAAACTGTGAATTGGAAGCGTTTCCGAGTATCTTGTGCTATTCTATCTAATCGTTTAAGTTCTTCTATTTGGGCTGTTGACGGTTTAACTTGAAGTGTTACAAATTCAAATGGACGTATGATTAGTAAATCTTCAAGACTCTTTACACGAGATAATGGAACATAAACCGATGCAACTTCGAGTGGTCCAGGAGGTATGACCAAATCGACGATAATTTTACCGAGTGTTTGTCCTTGGCTTTTATGTGTTGTCATGCTATATGCGGGTATAAGCGGAAGTGCTTTACGTTTAACCGAGAGTTTTGTTGTTTTCTTGTTTACTTTGGCCGCTTTCGATACATTTTCTGGAAGAAGTTCCTTGGCATCAAACAAGAATGTTTGTTCACTAATGGCTATAGGAACTATTTTGGACTGCAATTCAGCAAGTTTGTCATCAAGTTTGCAATCAGGAAATTCTATCAAAGCATACTTTGATTGCGTCATAAACTTGGTATTTGGTGGAAAATTCTTATTCTGGTATCGAACATCTTTTGGTGATTCCTCGTATATAAATTGACGAAAGATTCCACGTGTACCGTTGGAGAGTCCGATCTCACTAGCGACGTTTTCTGTGAGTAAAACTGGCATTCCTGGTACGAGAGGTAAATACCCTGGAAGATGTTCTGTTTTATTGTTAGGTAGTTCAAGTATTGCTTGACGTAATCGTATATCATCTGCAGTTTTTCCTTGAA